ATATCAGTTTGAAATTGGCTTATGGCTTATGTTTTTGTTTTTTTTTAAATAATTTTTGGGGGGAGGGCGGCCACGTGTTGTCACGACACTAACAAAGAAGATGCTGCGTGTCTTATGTTCACATTGTCTTTCCTACCCGCGTTTATTCACCTCTTATCTTCCTCCCTCTCCCTCCCCTCTCCTCTGCTGCACTCGCCCACACACTGTGGGCCCAGAGAGACTTGTTGGTGCCGCTCTGCGATGCACCGGGGTGCACCGGGCGTAGCGGCCCCCCCTCTTCGCTACTTCACACGCGAGTATGACGCGAGTCACTGCGTTCAGCTGTGCGTTCACAGAGGCACTCGTTTTGTGTCAGGCTTGTGCCGTTTAACAGTTTTTTTAAAATAATATTTTTCTGGCCCTGCCACTGTGTTTTTTTTCTTTCCTTTGAAACATTAGCGATTATTCCGTAGCAAGGTTACCCACGTGTTTCGGGTGCCTCCGGATCGTCTCCCTACGCCGCCCCCAGCCGGCCGCCCGTCTGTCCGGGAGCGCGCTGCAGACGCAGCCTCCTCATCCTGCTCCCCGCGGGCGCGCGCGGGGATCCGCTTGGAGCCCGTCTGGACGCCACTTTCTCTGCAGCGGCCACTGGCCGGTCGGTCCGTCTCTCTCCCACCCGCGCCCGGCCCCGGCCGGCGGAAGCGCGCGTGCGAGAGAGACAGGCACTGGGTCGGCCAGCCAGCCACGCACGGCCAAAGGGCTATGACCCGACCACCACGTAACAGTTGCTAATTTTAGAAACGAGTGTCGCGCACTTACTTCATCACCGCAACTGGGTGCCACCGGGCAGCGCGTCAGCGCACTCACTAGAAGTATGGAATAGTTGTCCTACTGCCACAATTAATACACTTTTTCATTTTCAAAAAAAAAAAAATATTTTGCAGAGGATTGTGGACCGGCCAAATTTGCATATCCCACCGAGCCTCTGAATGGAGACTTAATTCCCACCAAACCAGCCAACGCTGCTCGTCCGGCCCCAAAAGCGATTCCACACCGCCCAGACACGCGGGCGTGGTGTGGTGAGTTTGGGGTAGGATGGTGTATTTTGGCGGAGGGGAGC